TTGTTTGTTTGGTTCTAGTTGTAGTGTGTGTTTGTTTGGTTCTTGTTATAGTGTGTGTTTGTTTGTTTGGTTCTAGTTGTAGTGTGTGTTTGTTTGGTTCTTGTTGTAGTGTGTGTTTGTTTGGTTCTTGTTGTAGTGTGTGTTTGTTTGTTTGGTTCTAGTTGTAGTGTGTGTTTGTTTGGTTCTTGTTGTAGCGTGTGTTTGTTTGTTCGGTTCTTGTTGTAGTGTGTGTTTGTTTGGTTCTTGTTGTAGTTGTAGTGTTTGTCTGTTCCGTTCTTGTTACTACTTTTTTTGGTGATCTTAACTCCCAAGCCAACACAACTCTGCAGTGGATACCAGGTCACTGTGGTATTCATGGAAATGAAAAATGCAGACGACTTAGCCAAAGAAGGAGCCAAAATGACCCAGATTGAAGATGGCATGGATCTCTCAGAGTCAAAAACTCAAATAAAATCTGCCATAAGAAACAGATGGAAAAGGTCCCACCCTAAACACAACAGACGTGACCCCTACTACATACTAGAGCAGACCAGGTCTCAATCTTTAGACTCCGTTGTGGCCACAACAGACTCAAACACCATATGCACACGAAATCAAAAGTGGGCGAGTCCGTGATCTGTGAATGTGGACACGACCAAGAGGATGCCAACCATATCCTTCAGCACTGCCCGCGCTAGGCCACCCTTTGTACACAGACATGGCAGAATGTGGCTCCCCTTGAGAGAAAGCTCTATGGCAGTCTCTCAGAGTTGAAGCGAACTGCACAGTTTGTGCGCGACATCGGATTGACTGTCTAGCTGCTGTCATTGAGAACGAGGAAGTGAAGAAGAAGAAGGTGTGTCTTACTTTCTCCCAGCACTAAATTATCATTGCAGTGTGTCCATATATTATTATAATTATATATGTGTGCTCCTCTTTACTCAAACAAAACCCAGATTAGATAGAGGCAATAGGCCCAAATTGCATTTTTCCTTTTGCACACATGTAGCAGTTTCTTAATCAATCTGTGGTGTCGGTTGCATGTGGCCCAGAACTACATGCATGTGTAGAGCAAGGAGGTGATACAGTGAGGGGATGTAGAGCAAGGAGGTGATACGGTAAGGTGATGCAGAGCAAGGAGGTGACACAGTAAGGTGATGTAGAGCAAGGAGGTGATACGGTAAGGTGATGTAGGGCAAGGAGGTGATACAGTAAGGTGATGTAGGGCAAGGAGGTGATACAGTAATTAAGGTCCTAGATGTAGAGTGCTTTCCCAGAAGTGTTAATCTGTAGGCATGG